GGGACAAGCTGGGGACCGGCTGCTGCCACCAGCCCTTGGCGCCAGCTAGAAATAAGTGGATTAGGCCCCAATTGCGTTACGGTGGCAGCAGCCGCGGGGCGGCCGGGCGATGCCCAGGGCATCCCGCGGGACGGCGCAGCCGGGGCATCCCTGCCTGCCCTTCCCAGGGCTGCAGCATCCAGGCTCTAGTGAGCTGGAACAGTTAATTAGCCAGTGTCAATTCATGGTAATTAGCCAGGGGAGATGGGAGACAGAGGCCTCTGGCACCGGGCTGGGTGGCGGTGGGGGAGCGTTGCACATGTGCATCTGTGTGCTAGTGCATGCGCAAATAGCAGTGTGCACGGATGCATGCATGTGGGCATGGTGTGCAGGGGTGCATGCATGATGCACGTCTATGCATGCGCCAAGCGCTGCAGCTATCCCCCTCCTCCAAGGCCTAAGAGCAGGTTTAGCAGTGGGGCTGCGGCAAGCGGCCCGGCCACGGCCCCAGGGATGGGATGGGACAGGGCAGGACCAGCGCTACGGTTTCCTGCGGATGAAACTCCCTCTCTTCCTTGAGATGAGTGAGCACTGAAACTACATGGGAAACCGCAGGGATTTTCAGGAGCCCTGGGAAGGCTCTCCTTGCTCCTTGTCTCCAGGTGAGCTCGCTGGCCCCGCACAGTCACACACACCAGGAGGGCCAAGGCAAAACAAAGCGTTCCTGGTGGCTCCCGCAATGGGGGCCGACACGAGCCGCTCTGTCGTGCCGCCCCGCTGAGCTTTGGCGCGCACAAGGCCACCCGCTCCCGCACGGAGCGCGCCCGTGCGCGCGGCCGGCGCGCCACAGCACACGTTTTGCAGCAGAACAGGGTTAGTGGGTCACGGCAGCGCCCGCAGCTCCTCTCCAGCTGCGCCGCGGCCAAGGCTGGTGGGGCCGTCGGCTCCTGCCCGCGCGGTGCCCGGCGCAGGGACACAGACCCTGCAGGAAGAGGCGAGCAGGGGACAGCAGAGTGCAGCGATCCCAGAATGGCCCTTCCCCCCTGCGAGCCTCTCCGTGTGGGGCACCCCGAGCTCGTCCCAGGTTAAACGTGACCATGGGGACAGCGGCAGGGTAAAGAGCCTGTGTCCCTGCAGCTGGGGGGGTAAAGGGGATGAGCGGGTCCAGCCCCAGCCTCCCCAGCGGTGGAAACACGTGGTGCTTTGCACACTCGGCTTTGCACACTCGGCTTTGCACACTCGGCTTTGCACGTCCACGTCTGCACCCCCCAGCTCTGCACCGTCATCACCGCCGGGGCCGGCAGCGCCTGCGGCCCGGGGCTGCTGATGGCCCCGGTCTCCGCTCCCATTCCCCTTGCCGGCGCGGAGCTGCGCGCTCCCTGCACCGGCGCCATCCTTCCCCCCGCGTGGCTCCCGCTCCGGAGCAGCTGTTTCCATGGCTACGGCCATGCGAGTCCCGGGAAGATGCAGCTGTCACTGCAGTGCGGGGGCGGGGAGCGCTGGGGACAGCGGCCCTGGGGACACGGAGCCCTGCCAGCTGCCTTCCCCAGCCCCGCTGTCCGGCACGCTGCTCCTTGGACTGCAGCCGCCTTCCCAGCGCTTGGAATGCAAAGGGCCGGGCTGGGGCAGGGCAAAGCTCCCGGGACCCTCACCCGGATCTCCGGGCTCTGCTCGCAGCCCTGCTCCCGCCTGGCGTAGGGACCTCCCTCCGTCCAGGGCGCCACAAAGGGACCCTGGGGACACTTTCGGTTTTGTTCTGAGCCAGTGGGGAATTCGGCTCCCAGTGGTTGGGCAATGACGGCTGCCGGGAAGGAGGGAGTTTCTGCCGGGAAGTTGCAGCTAAAGGGGATTTCGTAGCTCCCTGGGCTGCCAGGTTCCCGTGGGATTCTCCCTGGAGCGGTGCTCGGCCAGCCTGGCTCCCGCTCTGCCCAAATCACACATGTGATGAGAACGTCACTGCTCTGCAGAGCACGAGGATACCAGGGCCCTGCGACCAGCAGCCCCCCGCGCCACTCACCCTGCTGAGCTCTGCGTGGTTGGGACGGAGAGGGGAGGAATATGGGATGCTGGAGATGCCCACAGCTGGGAAAACCAAGCACCTGGCAAAGTCTGCAGCCCCTTGCCCCTGTGGAAAGGATGTGTCTGTCCTTCCAGGCACCTGAGAGTCCATCCTGCCTCCCTCTGGGCACCCAAGCACCCATCCTGCTTCCTCCGAGCACCTGAGTACTGATCCCACATCCATCCAGGCAGCCATCCTGCCTCTGCCTGGGCATCCATCCATCCATCTATCCATCCATCCATCCATCCATCCATCCTCCTCCTGGCTGCTCCCCCTCCCTCCAGCCCTTCCTGCCCGGCCGAGGCTCCATGTCCGGGATTTTGGCGGCCGCCCGGGCCATCCAAGTCCCTTCCCCCACGTCCGCCCGGCCTCCTGCGCACACTGGCCCCTCTCTGCCTGTGCCCTCGGATGCTGCTCAAAGGGAACAATGCGACGTATTGTCTCGCGCGGCTCCCAGGCATCGCAGGCCGGCAGCACAACAAAAAGACACATTGACTCGTGCGGAGAAAGAGGCCCATAGAGTGGGCGGCCTCGGCGGGGGAGGCTCCGCGGCGGCAGCATCCCCGCACCGGGGAGCGCTGCGTCCAGCATCCCCGCACCTGGGCCCAGGATGAGCCGGCTCCTGCAGCGAGGCGCAGCGGGAGACCCTCGGGACGGTGCACGTATGGACGGGATCCCTGGGCTGCACTCACGCTGTCCCCGCAGACACGCTCCTAATCGCAAGGTCCTTCCGTCCCAGCCACGCTCCCGCAACACCTTCCAGGGCAAACAGATCCGGAGGAAGCGCGATGGGAAAAGCTTCCATTCGGACAGAGCGGGGCTTTTGTTTTCATGCTGGGCGTCCCTCCTGAGGAGGAAGGAGGCTCCGTAACGCGCTCCCTGCTCAGCCCCCGGGCACCCGGCAGCTGCCGGCGGGGAGGCAGCGCGGCCTCGACGCCCGCCCGGCCTCCACGGCCGTGTTCCCGGCTCCCTGCTGGCCCACGACTGGGAGGCTGCACATCAGCACCACGATCCAGCAGGGAAGGAGGAGGCCGTAAGGCGTGCGGGGCCGAGTGCTGTGCGGGCAGGAGGTGGCAGGAAGGTCCCCGGCGCTGCAGGGCAGGACAGGCAGCTGCGGGATGCAGGAAAAGCAGGAGCAGAAAACGCTGCTGTCCCTGGTTGCGGTCGCCATGGGATCTGCGGAGGTCAACGGCAGCCGCCAGGACAGGCCCCTTCCCGTGTTTCTATGGGAAGTGTCGCGGGCTGCAGCCGGAGCCGGTCCCAGTCTAGCCTTCCCTGATCCCGCTCAGCCCCAGATCCCTGCCGAGCCAGGAGGGGCCGGGAGGAGGCCGGGTGCATCCCAATTTAATGCTCACCTGCATCCCAGCAGCACCCAAACTGGCGGCTACCGTTCCTCCAGCAGCGCCACCGGAGCTGGGAGCACCCGGATGAGCTGGCCCCATTGCCATCGCTTCCCCAGCAAGATCTAATTAGCTAATTCCTCTTCTATTTTCCAATCAATATGGAAATCCTGCTGTTTTGCTCCTAGCGTTGCGCGTTGCCCTGGCCAGGCTGCCGCTCACTTGGGTTAGGACCCGGAATGGCCGCTCGGCCCTGGCCAGTGGAACCAACCCCTGTGTTAAGTCGGGCTGCGAAGCGGGCGACGCTGTTGTTGGCAAAGCCTGGCCAGCCCTGCGGCTGTGGCGGCCGCGCAGACAGATTTGTCTGCCTGTCCATCTGCTGGGGACGCCGGCGCAGCCCTAATCTGCAAATCCCCGGTGCTTCCCGGAGCCGCGTTCCAGGCAGGGAGCAGCAACCCCAGCCTGGAGCGAGGGCCGCGCTCCGACCACCTCCCGCCCCCGAGCACCTTGCACCACTCCCCCAAAACGGGTGTTCTGGAGCCTGGCAAACGCCCACGGCTCCTTCCACGGCCCCAGCGGAGCCGCCAGTCAGAGGCCTTTATCAACTGGCGACCAAAAGTCAATGAGGAAGATGCCGCCTGGTTTAATTAACACACAAGTTTCTCCCTCGCGGAGGGGAGATGATGTGAGCCGGGGGGAGGGAGGCCGGAGACAAAACATGACCTTGTTGAGGCGCGCGCACAGCGGCGCATTGTGTCCCCGCATTGTGCCCTTGAGCCGGCACGTAGCCGCCAGCGCAGCTGGGCACCGGCCCCCGCCGCCCCGCGCAGCAGCTCCCCCGAATGGCCCCGGGGCTCCTGGCCGTGTCTTGGGACGGGGGGCACGTGGAGGCACCGTGGGGTGGGGGGCGCAAAGCGTCCTCGTCGCTGGTGGCAGCCCTGGCTGGGCACTGTGGCGGCTCGACGGGTCCCTGCGCCTGGGGGGCCCCTCGGAGGCCGCGGTGCCCCTGGGGCTGGGGCACCCGCTCAGCTTTTGTCACCGCTTTCCTTTCTCCCACACTCTCCCTTTCCCAGAAAACAGGGAGGAGCCGCAGGGAAAAACCTGCCCGTCCATGTCCGTCGGTCTGCGTGCGGCCGGAAAGCGCAGCCAAGGGACGGGCAGCCCCGGCGGGACCCTCCAGGGTGCTGGGCCCGGGGCGGCGGCGGCCCCGTGGACCCTTCGGGGACGGCTGCGCCCCGCGGCGGGGGGGACAGAGCCGGGGCAGCGGCGCCTGGGGCGGAGACCTGGGGCAGGGCCGCGGCGGGGGCCCCTCCGCCAGCGCCGCCCGCCC